ACAGAAGCATATGTGTTGTTGAATTCAATCTCCATCAACTTCCTGTTTGGGGTCAAAGAAGATTTTAGATTTTTTAAAAAAATCATCAACATGATATGATACTTTATGTGGAAAATTGAAAAGACTCCCCTCAAATCTGCTAGAACTCATATAGGAATTCAGTAAAGTGTCAGGATATAAAATCAATACACAGCATCAGTTGCATTTCTGTACACCAACAACAAGACAGAAGAAAGAGAAATTAAGGAGTCAATCCCATTTACAGTTGCACCCAAAACCATAAGATACTTAGAAATAAACCTAATCAAAGAGGCAAAGAACCTGTACTCAGAAAACTATAAAGTACTCATGAAAGAAATTGAGGAAGACACAAAGAAATGGAAACACGTTCCATGATCACGGACTGGAGGAACAAATATTTGGAAAATGTCTATGCTACCTAGAGCAATCTACATATTTATGCCATTCCTATCAAAATATCATCAATTTTTTCAAAGAAATGGAACCAATAATCCTAAAATTTATATGGAACCAGAAAAGACCCGAATAGCCAGAGGAATGTTGAAAAAGAAAGCCAAAGTTGGTGGCATCACAATTCCGGACCTCAAGCTCTATTACAAAGCTGTTATCATCAAGACAGCATGGTACTGGCACAAAAACAGACACACAGATCAATGGAACAGAAGAGAGAGTCCAGAAATAGACCCTCAACTCCATGGTCAACTAATCTTCGGCAAGGCAGGAAAGAATATCCAATGGAAAAAAAGTCTCTTCAACAAATGGCGTTGGGAAAATTGGACAGTCACATGCAGAAGAACGAAACTGGACCATTTCCTGACACCACACATAAAAATAGACTCAAAATGGATGAAAGACCTTAATGTGAGACAGGAATCCATCAAAATCCTTGAGGAGAACACAGGCAGCAACCTCTTCGACCTCAGCCATAGCAACTTCTTCCTAGAAACATCGCCAAAGGCAAGGGAAGCAAGGGCAAAATGAACATTGGGACTTCATCAAGATCAAAAGCTTCTGCACAGCAAAGGAAACAGTTAACAAAACCAAAAGACAACTGACACAATGGGAGAAGATATTTGCAAACGACCTATCAGATGAAGGGCTAGTATCCAAAATCTCTAAAGAACTTCTTAAACTCTGGGGCGCCTGGGTGGCTCAGTGGGTTAAAGCCTCTGCCTTCGGCCTAGGTCATGATCCCAGGGTCCTGGGATCGAGCCCCGCATCGGGCTCTCTGCTCAGTGGGGAGCCTGCTTCCTCCTCTCTCTCTGCCTGCCTCTCTGCCTACTTGTGATCTTTGTCTGTCAAGTAAATAAATAAAATCTTAAAAAAAAAAAAGAGTTAAAAAAAAAAAAGAACTTCTCAAACTCAACACCCAAAGAACAAATAATCCAATCAAGAAATGGGCAGAGGACATGAACAGACATTTCTGCAAAGAAGACACCCAGAAGACACCCAGATGGCCAACAGACACATGAAAAAGTGCTCCACGTTGCTCGGCATCAGGGAAATACAAATTAAAACCACAGTGAGATCCCACCTCACACCGGTCAGAACGGCTAAAATTAACAAGTCAGGAAATAGCAGAAGTTGGCAAGGATGTGGAGAAAGGGGGACCCTCCTACACTGTTGGTGGGAATGCAAGCTGGTACAGCCACTCTGGAAAACAGCATGGAGGTTCCTCAAAATGTTAAAAATAGAACTACCCTACGACCCAGCAATCGCACTACTGGGTATTTACCCTAAAGATACAAACGTAGGGATCGGAAGGGGCACGTGCTCCCGAATGTTTATAGCAGCAATGTCCACAATAGCCAAACTATGGAGAGAACCTAGATGTCCATCAACAGACGAATGGATAAAGAAGATGTGGTATATATACACAATGGAATACTATGCAGCCATCAAAAGAAAGGAAATCTTGCCATTTGCGACGATGTGGATGGAACTAGAGGGTATTATGCTGAGTGAAGTAAGTCCATCAGAGAAAGACAATTATCATATGATCTCCCTGATATACAGAATTTGAGAGGCAGAATTGGGGGTGTGGAGGATAGGGAGGGAATAAAAGAGACAAAATGGGATCGGGAGGGAGACAAACCATAAGAGACTCTTAATCTCAGGAAACAAACTGAGGGTTGCAGGGGGTTGGGGGTGAGGGATGGGGTGACTGGGTGGTGGACACTGGGGGCAGCGTGTGCTGTGGTGAGTGCTATGAACTGTGTAAGACTGATGACTCGCAGACCTGTACCCCTGAAGCAAATAATACATTGTATATTAAAAAAAAAATCATCAATGTACTATGCATGACTGATCGCGAAGCTGAACGTGTCCGTGACAGTTTTATTTGAAACGGCACTAAAAGGGACACAAAAAGTCAAATGTTTCACTGGAACCAGGATGACCTCAAAGGTCTATGAATATACTCCCCCCTCCCCTCCCCCGAGTCGGACCTTGACCCCAGCCTCCTGGATAAGTTCCTCCTATTTTTGAATAAAAAAAGGATTCCATGGTGGAGAAGCCGATTCACACACAAGATCTTCCAAACCCACAATTCATCCCCAGATCAATGTCCAGCCGCAATTTCCAAGGGAGACCAAGCGAGAGCTCAGTGCTGCGACAGAGGGTCTGGGCGCCCGCTGGGGTTTCTCCCAGGGAGTGAAGGAATGTTCAGCAGAAGACACTCCAAGAATAGAATCCACCCCGCCAAGAGCTGAAGGAGACTCACACCATCCGAAGGAAATTTAAAAGACTCACTACGACCTCCTAAGACGAAATGTAACGAAGGGAAGGCAAAAATACATATAAATTTTTTAACAAACTGAAGAGGATTCTAAAAACAGAGCTGGTATTAATATTGTCATTAGTGGAGAAATACTGGAGAAACACACTTGAAAATCATGAGCCACAGGAGGAAGCCTGACGCGGTCACTGAATCGGAGGGAAGGAAAGGCAGCAGGACGCACCCCAGAAATCAGAGGGCTGCGCGCCCCAGGAACCGAGAAGCCAAGTGCACTGGGTCCCACCCCGCAGCCCCGGAAGCCAGAGGTCCACGCGGATCGACACGGACGCAGGGGAGGCATCCCAGAGGACCACGAGCTGCACGGCTATCAGCAAAAATTGGTTCAAAAACCAGCCAGAAAAGGAAATGCCCGCTGCTCCTGCCACCACCAGCCGTCACGGGCCCCGCTGGAAACGCCCAGAAGGGCCCCCCGAGCATCCCGTGTGCCTGGCTTCCCAGACCAGACTCTCGAGAACCGGTCCAAGTCCTACTGGTAGATGCTCAAGTCCTCTCCTTGACAGAGACTGAGGTCCCCGTGGCAGAGTTAGGGGCAGACCCAGAAGGAAGCGAGCACGTGGGTGACACCTGAGGCGGCCTCGCCGGGAGGCGGCTCCATCCCCGAGGGGTCCCATGGGGGCACGTGGGGCGCGTCTCCCGGCCCATCAGGCGCGGAGCTGGGCAGCTACCCCCGGTCCGGGCAGGGATCCCAGGGTCTGGGCTCTTTCCACGCTCCCCTGCAAACCCACTGCCCACCCACTACATTCAGAATGTGCACCCCAAATCCAGGCGACGACAGGCAACGGCTCCTACACGGTATTTACGACAGGCTCTAAGACCAGACTCAGCAGGGCGGGAGGAGAGGCGCGCGACGTGGGTACATGGAGGCTCAGGACCAGGCCTGGCTTTTCTGAGACGGAGAGGAAGAAAGGGATTCTCCGATACACAGGGCAGTAACCGAGAACCACTGGGAAAAAACGTACAGAATTCGTCTTGCTTCTGTCCGGGCAGATGACAGGAGCCTTAATGCTAGGACAGTCACCTCTGCTCTGTGCCAGGCCCCATGCTAAGCGGCTGGGAGACCTTACTTCATTCAACCCCCTGAAGACTGGAAGGGGAACACTGCATTCCACAGATGGAGAAACTGAGGCTCGCGGGGGGAAGGGACTGGCCTGGGCATCTTTCAGTCTGGTCTACGTGTCCCTTACCACATCCCACTCCCCACTCCCTCCCTGCACACCTCGCTCAGTGGGCTGCACCCCCTCGGGACCAACTGGCCCTCCTGTCACCCCCTAGGTGGGCCCGGAGTCCAGGGCCGTGCTCCGTACCTCCCACCAGGTCCCTGCCTCAGCAACCCCCTCGCTGAGCCCGCAGCTACGGCCATCTGGCGGACTCTGCAGGGTTCCCTCTTCAGAGCCCGTTTGCAGAGCTACGAGATGGGACTGGTGACCGTGTGACAGTGGCCACCCCAGGGCTTGCCAGTGTGGGTCCTCGACAAGCCCAGGGCACCCCTTCTCTGATGCCTGCCCTTCCAGCAGCCCCCGGCCCAGTGGGGTGCAGACCCCGAGGCTGGGGGACGGGCTGCTTCTGCCCCTGAGCTTCAACAGCACGACGCCCAGCCCCCAACCCGGCCCCTGCTCCCTGCCTCCTGTCCTCCTCCAGGGCACGCGAGGAGGTGACAGCACTGTGGGCAGAGCTGCTGGAGAGACCACTCTCTGGGACATGCAGGGGTCCCTGCACTGGGCTTGCTCCCAACACTCTGAGCGATCCTGCCGCCCGGACAGGGTGCTCACACTGGACACTGCGCAAGCCCTCAGCCAAGCGCAGATGCAGGAACCTGTGCCTTTCCCTCCCCTGCCATCCCATAACCCTGCTGCAGGAGGGCGGGAGACTTTCAGGTCCCTCTCCTGTCCGAGGGCGCTGGAGGGCTCGGGGAGGCTGCTGCTCCCTTTCTAGCGCCGCGTGCCCAGACCACGCGCAACTCCAGGAAACGGCCTCCTGCTCCACTCCAGACACCGCAGGACCGGGCCGTTCACCACACCGCGCCACCCACCTCCACCAGCTCCCTCTGGGAGCCCCCAAGAAAGCCCATCCCAGAGCCAGACCCACCCAGTGCTCAGCATCCCAAGTCCAGGCCCCTTGGCTGAGGATGCTCTGCAGGAAATCCCAGACCCCGGAGCCCCAGGAGCCGCCCACACCCCATGACCTTCTTGGTGTAGCCCATCGCCTTCAGGACAGAGTGGTTCAAGGTCTCCAAGGAGGCCAAGACGTCCTCATAATCGCCCATGTGGTCCACAAAGTAATCTGAAGGAAGGCAAAGCAAAGGTCAGGGTAGGAGGACCCTACCCTCGCGGGGCCTCCCATGCATCCCACCTGTGCCCTCAGTGCTCCCCAGAGTCCCATCCTGCCACCCCAGTCCTGGTCCCTGCAGAGCTGGGCACCTACCACATAGCTCCTTGGTGTCCACGTGGCTGCAGAGAGAAGGAGGGAGACTCAGGTCAGGCCTGTCCCCGTCCCATCCGCCCTCCCCCTCCGCAGCGTGCATGGCCCCGGGCTGCCCGCTGTGCCTTGTCCGTCATCATCCACGCAGGCCCTGCCAGCCCTGCTTCACGCATGAGGTCAAGGACGCTTCCCTCCCAAGGATGGAGCAGGGAACCCCACCGGCAACTCTTCTGACCTCACCACCGCTCACTCCCTCTCCCCCACTCTGCTGCCCATGTCATGAGCATACGGGACACGGACTGGGCCTAGGCCAGGGGCTGGGAGAAGGGAGGGAATGGGACAGAAGAGAGGGGGCCCATAACTAGTATGGGCTTCCCCCAGGGCATGCCTGCCTGCCGGGTCCTGGAGCTCTCAGGAGTCCTGGGACAGCCCTCCGTGTCCCCACCCTCGCCCTGGGGTCCCGCATCCCGATGCCTACAATGTGGAGAGGACTATGTCCTTCCTCGGAGGAGACTAAGCCCCAGAATGCCACCCACGCTGGGGAAGGTGCAGGCAGCAGCCTCCGAACGGAGACGCGGTGGTGGGCGGTGCTGGGGGCACATGCCAAGGGACCCTTTCCGGGCCCTGGTTCCCTCACTGAGAGAGGAGGGACTGCCCTGGGCTGGAGAGCTCCTGGAATCCCAGTTCCGTAAGATGCATCTGGGAGAAGGCTCCTATGGCCAAAGAAATCTAGGTTCAAGGCTCTGGAAGCCCTGTCTTGGAGATTCCTCCAATTCACATCCCATATTAAATGTTCTGACAAGTCCTGCAGAGAGGAAACCTGTTTAACTGTACTCAAATGAGGATTTCAGCCAAAGCCTCCTTCCCCCTACCCAGCTGGCCCAACACAAAAGGCCCCATGACAATGAGTAAAGCAGAAGCCACCTACAGACCCCTTTCAAAGCTCCCTGGGGGACTGCAGGAAGTGCTCGGAAACCGCCATCTGTTTGCAGAAACCAAGCCCTTCTCGGGGGCTGCAGCAGGAAGCTGTTTCCAGTGGCCTTTCCCAGATAAGGACACCTGCCCACCCCGGTCCCCAGCCTATGCCTCCCAGGGCACTCGCAGCCCCAACCTCTGGTCCAGGTCAGCACGGTGCTGGGTCCCCTGCAGGCACGCCTGGTGGCTGCTCCTTGTGCGGGATACCTCCAGCCTGTCCCAGGGGACCCCGGCTCAGCAAACCTGCTCCAAGCAGCACCCCCGGAACTCTGGTCCCCATGACCTGGGTGGGCCCGAGGAGGGGGATGGGCCGCGGGGCCCAAGAAAGGGGCCGGGCCTCATCTTGCCTGGGGTCCCAGGGAAAGAGTGAGTTGGTGGGGTCGGGTGTGTATGAGCAGAACGTACACTTTGCACTTGACTTAGGGATGGGTCAGGCCAGAGGTTTTGGCTGGTTCTGAGATGCAAGTGCGGGGAGTTATGACAGGGTTTATGAGGTGGGGAGGAGCAGGGCTCAAGTCAGAGCTACAACTGGTACCTGGTCAGTTTGGTTTAAGACAGGACCAGTGAAGATCAAGGTCACGGAGGTCCCCTAGAACGGGGCTGAGTTAGCAGGAGGCGGAGGTCACTGCCAACGTCCCCTTTTTGTTACTGTGTGGGCATGCTGTAGTGTCGAGGGTCTGTTCCTTCTTAGCCACATGTGCCCAGGACAGACAAACCGGCCAATGCGATGTCCCCGTGCCACACCCCAGTCACCCCGGCCAGCGGGGGCCACCAGACCTGACCTGTGGGTTGGCAGGTGCGGGGATGTTTTGGGTCTCCTGCCCCTCCAGGGGAGTGGGACACAGAGACTGATCGCCTCGCCAGGACGGAAGACGGGTCCCCCCAGACTCACGGGAGGCCGCCCCAGCCCAGCAGCGGGGGGCCTGGCTCACTTGGTGTTGTCGGAGTCGATCGTGTGGAAGAGGCCCTCCAGCTCCTTCTCGTCGAGGACGCCATCTGCAAAGAAGAGCTGGAACTCCTCCAGCGACAGCTTCCCGTCGTCTGCAGGGGAGGGAGGAGGGAGGGAGGGCAGCTGGCGTCTGAGAGATTAGACAGCCCGGAGGCCAGACAATCCCCCAATCTACAGATCAGCTCCAGCCGGAGAACCTCCGCTGCCCAGCGAACGGCCAGATGAACTAGTAAACTCCAGGTCGCAGAAAAATCACTGCCTCGTCTAATTCCCAAACGAGCACATCAGCGCCCACTTCCAGGGAGTCCCCGAGCCAACAGAGTCGGCAAGTGGTTGGCTGGGCTCAGGTCAACGACCAGCACCTGCTCTGGGCCAGGCCCTCTTCTCCCCAGAAACGCTGGCCGCTGGGGGTGGTACCCTCCAAGGGAGCACCGTGCCGAAGCCGGGGGTCTGACCACCCTCCTCTCTTGCTTCCAAACGCCCACACAACCCCCTGACACCGGCACCATCTCCCACTGCAGCCCCGGTCCCGACCCAGGGGAGGGAACGCTTCCTCTCCACGCCGCACCAGCCACGCGGCAAACTTGGGGCCCGAACCTTCACGCCGGCCGACGTGAGACGGGGGCCCACGGTGGGCAGGTGGTTCTCAGTCCACCAGAGAACAGCCGTGAGGATGCCGAACCGTAGGAAAAGGAGGCCCCGGGCGGGCACTGCCCAGCCTGTGTGTGCCTGGGACGGCTGGGGCCCCACAGCCCCAGGTCCCACCCACCCACCCTCTGTCTCACCTCTTCTCCCTCTGCCCGCAGCCCCCCCGGGGCACTGGCAGGTCTCGTGGGCTGGGAGCGAGCGGTCACAGAGGAGGGAGTTCGCGGCAGACGCCAGTGACTCTGGGAGAGGCAGGGGCCCAGCTCCCCCTTCCCAAACTTCCTTCCACCTAGGCACACCTGTGGAGCAAACTCCCCGGTGGCTGATCCCCATCCCCTCCCCATGATCTCAGACCAGTTCCAGCTGCTCCTTAAAGGAGCCACGCCTGTGGGTGTCTGTGAAGTCGGGGAGAGGGAAGCCCCAGCCCCTTGGCACAGACCCCCTGCCGTGACTTCCAGCTAGTCTGCAGTCAGAGTCCCCTACAAGCCCACGTGGCACCTGGGTGAGAAGATGCCCCTTCGGGGTCGGGAGGGAGACCACCTCCAGCAGACCCCCCATGGAGCAGGCCTCAATCCCAGGACCCCGAGATCACGACCCGAGCTAAAATCAAGAGTCAGACGCTTAACCGACAGAACCACCCAGGCGCTCCCATTCCTGTATTTTAAAGGCCTGGAACGATCTCTCTTTGCTCCCACAAACTCTGCAGGGGCTCAAAGTAGGGGCCCAGAAACCAGCTGGGCAGAGGGAGACCCTCGCACCTTGCCACGGCTTCCCTCCACCTGTCTTCCTTCCGGCCCCTCAGGCCTGCAAGGGCAGGAGACGGGAGAGAGGGAGCAAATGCCTGTGCGGGAGGGAGGGCAGCGCTAAGGGCAACCTCCCAGCTGGCCCTCTGACTTCCAGGCTCAAGTTTCAGCGTCACAGAGGGAAATGACTTTGTAGCTTTCAAAAACAAGAGCTCCTCCCTAAACAAAGCAGACAAGCCCCAGCCCACCCCCTTACACACACACACACACACACACACACACACACACACACACACACGCAACCATAAAAAGGCCTTCACGCTACCAGCTGTAAACGATGCACGGCCCACAGAGGCTCTTTCCAGTCTGTGAAAAAGAGGAGACTTTCCAAGTTTCCTCTGGCACCAGAGCTGATACAAACAAGGAGGCCCCGAGCAGAACTGCGGCCAACACGCGGGCCATTTGGTCTTCACGAGACTCCCATTTTCCAGAGCGGTATACCGAGACCCAGAGCCGCTAAGGGATCCACAGCTGGAGCTAGAGCCTCAGCCAACTGGCCCCCAAGTCCATGCCTCCCCCCAGGCCAGGGGCAGAGTCTTCTGGTGAGAGCCCCCGCCCCCCAGGGGCAAGGCCAAGTCTGCACTGCGGGGGAGGGGAAGCGTGCGGGGATTGACTACTCATGGCTGCCACGGGTGCGGCCCTGGGGGCGTGGGGGGCATCTCCCTGCCTTCCCCTCCTTCTGCCTGTCCAGGCTCAGGCACAGACTTCTCGGGTGACATTTACCTTGAACGTCCTGCCACAGCCCTAATGAGCCCAGCTCCGCTAATGAGGGAAGGAACAGCTCCTGGCTCCTGCCCGGGGCCTCTGTACCATCAGAGGAGAGGGCCTGGCACCCCCTCCCAGCAAGGACGCTGAGCAGGCCGTTTGCAGGTGTCTTCGCTAACGAGCATGAGCTCAGCCTCTGTCACCGTGACCTTTCAAATGCCAGGACTCTGCCTGTGTCCACGTCCCTGGAAGGCACGCAGTCTGGCGCTGCTGGACACCATCTGCCACCCTCCCAGGCTTCGTGCCCGGGCTGCGGGGCAGACCCCTGACCCTCGGCCTCCGCGCAGGAGCCACGATCGGTCTGTCTCAACAAAGAAGCGTCCGCCCTGGGAGACACCGGCACAGGCTGGCCCCGAGCACCTGGCCCTGGGGTTCCGGAGGCTTCTCCCGGGAGACCATACCCCACCCTGCACCTCTGGGCATCACTCCTGCGGATGTCCGGGGCAGGGCCAGCACCCACCTGTGCGTCCCGTCTGCAGCTCTGGCCGCCCCTGCGGGTTCATCCCGGTCCCCCCACCCAGACGTGTTCTCAGTCCCCGCTGCTCACGCTGCTCCCCAGCCCGGGATCGGCAGTCCCGCACCCGCGTGCTCTGGGTCGAGCTTTGGGCATCGCTAAAAAGACGGTGATGCTTCTCATCCCAGCAGAAGCGCAGTGAAGCCCCGGTGAGGTCGAGGAACAGGGGGTGCTGGGTGGCTGCCGGCAGCCCCCCGGGCGGTAAGCTCCTGGGGTAGCGTGGGTAGGAACCAAACACCTGTTGGCAAACCACGGCGTCCACGCCCACGGATGGCGTCGGCCGCACGGTTCCCCATGGCCTGGGCACCCGGACCCGGCAACAGCACCACCGGGGCCCTCGGAGGGCTGTCCCGGTGTCATCAGGCCCACTTACAGATGGGGAAACCGAGGCCCCAAGCATTTGCTGACTGGCCTGGGGTCACTAGAGCCAGGACTGTGACAGAGAAGGGACTCCACCTCCTCACAGCCCCCGAAGCTCCTCTGGGACCAACATCAAACCGGCGACAACCCCTCAGTGTGGAGGCCGGGAAGACCTGAGGCTCCCGGAGGGGAATGGGCTCCGCCTCCGTGGGGGCCCCGGAGCCATGTCGAGGGACCCCTCCACTGTGCTCAGGGGGCGGAAACACGGTCTCCCACAGGGCATCAGGCGACTAGGAGGAGACCCGACGTGGGCCTCTAGGGAGGCTGGCGTGCCGAACCCCCACCAGGCAGGTGCACACACACGGGTCTGCGCACACTCGGTGTGTCCAGCGGTCATCACAGAAGCAGGCAAGGCCACGCAGAGCCACGGCCGCCCGCAGGGAGACCGGCAGCCAGACTCCTGCTGTGCCCCATGGCCGTGCACAGCCGCACTTGGCAGGGAACAGACCCGTGACCTCGAAGCCTTCAGACCTTTGCAAAGACTGACTGTGTGCCCACGGCAGGGACAAGCCCACATTCCTACTAGCCAGGGACTCACGATGGGCGAAGGTGACCACGTGGCCCCAGGCCACGGCACACTGAAGACGCCAGAGAGACACCTGCATCCAGGTCTGGGATCGAGCCTCTCGACCCCTGATGAACCTCGAAGGCTGTCTGGGCCCAGGTGCCACAAGCGCTTTTGGAGGTCACTGCAGGGCCCCCGCATCCCTATCTATCCCCCCTGCTCCAGATGGAACTTGGGAGTCCCGTGTCCCAAGAGGCCTGGGAGGGACCATCATCATGCCAAGGGGCAGGGGATGGAGACCCCTGGGCCCTGGCTTCTAGTCCAGGCCTGGGCAAGGCCCTCCCCCAAGGCCTCTCATTCCACCCCAATACCATGGAGGGGTGGGTCAGGGAGAGAGGGGGTGCAGGGCCCTGGGCCAGAGCGGCCACCTGCAATTCCAGCCCACGCAGGAGAGGCGCTGGGGCCCGAGGACCCCCTGCTCCCCACCCTGCGCACATCTCCTCCCTGCACTTTCCCAACAGCCAAGGCTGCAGGCTAGTTAAGAGTAACCGATCAGCCCGCTTTAGAGATGTGGAAGCTGAGGCCTGCAGAGGGACTATGTGTTACCTAAAGGCCACGGAGCGTGGCGCTGGCCCTGGGAATAAGGACGAAGGTGTTTATGTGAAGTTGTGCTGCTCCTGGGTGCAGCTGTGAGGCTCAGGTGTCCCTTGGGAAACCTGGTCCTTTTCAGACCCCCACCTCCGTCATATACTGGAAAGACTTTCTGAGAAGTCAGGAGAAGTGCAGTGTCACCATCCACGGCCCCGACAATGTGCCCCTCACATCGCTGGGGAGGACACCCGACGTTGGGAAAAGTCCCGGTGTCGCAGCACAAGCTGGACTGTCTTCAGGCAGCTGGGTGACCCTGAGCAGGTCACTTAACCTCTCTGGGCCGCTACGGAATTGTCAGAATAGGAGCAATAGCACCAAGGGCACCAGATCGTGGCAAGGAAGACGTGCCAGGGCCTGGAGTGAGGCTAGGGGCCCCCTTAAAGGGTGGTCGCTGGGCACCCCCTCCCTGGGCTGCTCTGGTCCCTCCCAGCTGTCTGAGGGCTGACGTTCCCCAAGCACCTACAATACGCAGAACACCAGGGCATCACAGACACCAACTCCCTGAATCCCTGTGGCACCCCTACTAAGTATGAACCACGGGAATTCCACTGTATAGACAGGGAAACTGAGGCACGGGCAGAGCTGGGTTGTGGCCTTCTCACTTCAGCATCCTGTACTTTGAACCTTTAGGTGCAAGGCTGTTCATGCCCCCACCCGAGGTCCCTTTTCCTGAAGCATCAGGACAGAAAGAGCCAGGGCCTCACTCAGGGGACAGTCTGGGAGGGAAACTCACCGTTTTTGTCGGCCCGGCGGAAAATCTGCAGAGAAGAGAAGTACAGTCAGCTGGGGCCCCAGAGGGGCAGACGCCCTCCGGTGGCCTCTGACTCATCCTGGGATCCCACTCCCGGGGGTGCGGGGGGTGGGGTGCTGGGAAGCAGAGCAGCCCCTCCCCCAGGAGAAGACCCCAGCTGGGATCCGGGGCGGGAGGGACGCTCGAGGCAGAGCCCTCCCAGCCTCCCTTGAGGAAGCAGCGCCCACTCTTCTTCTGGGCCGCCAGCCTGCCCACGGCCACACCGGCAGCCATGCGCGCACACACGTGGACACACAGGCTCACACCCAGCCACACGCTTGCGGGTGTGCCTCCAGAGAGGGCCGTCCACGCGGCCGCACCCACCGAGCTACGCGCAGTCCCACACTCGGCATCCGTGGCCCGGGGACGCAGCCGCTGCGCCCCTCCCGGAGCCCCGTCAGTTAGGTCCCAACAGAGATGTCTGCTAAGGAAACCTCGAGGACCAGCCGGGGGCGGGCACTGGATTGTTTTCCGGGTGGGGGAGTGGGTGGAGGCAGGCCACCCAGAGCTCGGCACCCGGGCTGCAGATGCGAGGGTGTGGCTGCAGGGGGAGGGGCGGGGGGAGCTGACAGCCACCCACCCCTCCAAGGGTGAGCTGAGACCTGGTATTTGCAAGATGAGGTGAGCCATGCTGGTAAGAAGGAGCAGGGGGAAGCATCACCGCTTCTGACCATCCATTCCCACCTCTGCTTCTGGTCCTGGGGCCAAGGACAGATGTCACTGCCCCCCCAAGCACCTGAGACTGTGACACACTGAAGCCGCAGCTCAGGAAGGCTTCTCAGACATCACCCCCTTCCCTCAGCTGAAACCCTGCTCTGGGGTACCTAGGCAGGAGTCCCCGTGGCTGGGGCGGGAGTGGGGGGGCAAGGACCAGAGCCCCGCCCCTACTCATAACAGCAAAGTTTCCCCGAGGCCAGGGTCCCACCCCCAGCGGCCCAGGATGGCCACGACAACCAAGCAACAGAAGCAGACCACATGATGGGGCTCCAGGACTCCGCTCCCCACCCCCACGCACCACTCCCTCTCCCAGATGAAGAAATGGAGGCTCAGAGCCCACACACACCAGCATGATGAGGACCCCGGAGCCCGCTGCCTGTACACTTAGGAACGGGAAGGGTCTGGACAGGGCTTTCCCCGAACTACGCTGGGGTCTGGAGAGAGGGCGGCTACGCAAGTGTGTGTGTGTGCACATGTGCGCTTGTGCAAGCACACGCGTGTCCACAGACAACCACAAGCACCCACAGGACAGCTCCCCCTGCCCTGCCCAGCCCCCTCTGCACAGAGCCAACTGGGTTCCAGGAGAGAAGAAGGGAAGAGGAGAGGAGATCCACGCTCCCCCCAAGGATCCAACACACAGACACAACTCTCCCCCAAACCCACCGGGTACAGGACCCTCAGGAGCACAGGCACAACCTACCACTGTGCTGTTAGGAGGTGGGGGTGGTTCAGTGAACCAAGCCCTCTCCGCCTCTCCCTGGCTCTACAGAGCAGGTCTCCCACCCCACCCCCAGCAGTCCCTCCCGTAGATTCTTCCTCCCACTCCTGGGGAGTGGGTGGGAGGGTGAGGTGGGCTTCCCAGAGGTGGGTGCGTTGAATCAGGGAGGGGATGGGGGGGGAGGTTTGAGTCGAGGGTATGGAAGGAATGGAGAACAGAGGGGGCTCCTGGTGGGGGTGGGGGCTGGAGGGGAGCCCAGAGGGGTCCAGGCTCAGACAGAACAGATGGGGGTGGCACCAGCTCTCCTGAAGGAGAGAAGACAGGTGGGGAGGGGGCTTCACTGTCACAGAGCCGCCGGTGCCTGGGGTGGACAGGGGCTTTGGGGATGAGAAAACCCGGGCTCATGGTCTATGACCGGGATGAGAGAAGGGGCACCGGAGCCTGGAAGGGGAGGGGGATTTCAGAAAAGTATGGATTCAGGCAGGCGTCGGGATGGAGAGGAGGGGGCCGGAGGCGGCAGGGGCTCGCGTCCCGACAGGGTTGAAGGTACAGGGTGAGGTACAGGGCTGGAGAAAGGGTAAGGGTTTAGCCAGCACAAAAGTAGGGGGGCGGTGGCCGGGTCCAAGGACTCCAGGGTCCCGGCTCCGGCTCCAAGAAGGTGGGGATCCCCAGAAATGGAGGGAGGGGGGTGGGAAGAGGAGGACCGTCGTGGTCCGGGGAGGAGGCTAGACTGGGATGGAGACCGTCTGGAACTCGGAGGGGCTGGGGTCGCGCTCTGGGACTCGGGAGGGGCCGGGTGCGGGTCCCGCTCCGGGGGGCCGAGGGGGAAAGGGCCGGGGGTCCCCCGCCCGGGGAGGAGGGGGCCTCGCGGGTCCCGGCGGGGGCGCAGGAGGGCGGCGTCGGGAGCGCCCGGCGGTGGGGGGAGGAGGGGGCTGGGGTCCCGGCCGGCGCGTACTCACGTCCAGGATGACGGCGGTGCCCCCGCGCGGCGAGCCGGGCCCGGGGCCGGGGCCGGGGTCCGCAGCGGGGGCGTCGGGGGCGTCGGGGGCGTCGGGGGCCAGTGGCGCCCGGGGCTCGCCCATCCTGGCGCCCACCCAGCGCAGCAGCCCGCCTAGCGCCCGGCCCTGCGGCGGCGGCTCCCGGAGCAGCCTGTGCGCGCCGGCCCTGCACAGGCGCGCCGCCCGCTCGCACATCGCGCCGCGCCCGCCGCCGCCGCCGCCCGGGAAGCCCGCCGACCCCCGCCCGGCCCGCGGCCCGCCCCCGCGCGACCCCTCCCCGCCGCCGCCGCCGCCCGCGCCGCCCCGCCCTCCCTCCCTCTGCCCCGCGGCCGCGGCCACCGCGGGGACCGGCCGGCGCCGGGGGACCGGGGAAGGGGGGGCGCTCCGCCTGGACCCCGAGCCACGTGCTTCGTGTCCACCGCTCCCCCCCACCCCGCCCCCGGCAGCCGGGCGCGGCGGCGGGGGGGCGAACCGCGGGGGCGCGGTGCTGGGGGCTGGACCCCAGCCTGGCCACCGCAGGGGCTGCCCAGGAGGCGTGGGGTGTGGGCGTCCGGCCGCGCAGCCGGGGGCTCCCTGGGGGCCGCCCCCCGAAAGTCTCCCGCTGCCCCCCTCCCGAAGGTTCCCCCACCCCACCCGTGGCGCCGACGCAAGGGCCGGAGCGCAGGTGTCCGGCGAGCCCGGAGCGCCCTCTGCTGGCTGCAGCTCCGGGGACCCGTGCCCACGCGCTGGGCCTCCCCCACCACTCCTGCGGGCCCGCGGGCCCCCTCAAACCTCCCCCACCAGCGCCCAGACTGGTGGCCCAGGACACCCTCTTCCCCTCGCACCCTATCCACCCATCGTCCATCTGTCCAAAGGACGTGTTAAGGCCCGTGATAGGCGATGGGCTGCACTAATGGGACTGAGGTGGGGGTGGGGGAGTCCTTGGCCTCCTGGCACCTCGATCCAAGCGGGCAGAGACAGATACTGGAGTGATCGCACAGATACACGAGCCATTAATAGCCATGAACCTTGGGTCCCGGAACAGGGGGTTGCCCTGGGGGTAATGGAGGGGCTCCTGGTAGGGGAGACCGCCGGCACTAAGTGACCCTTAAGTTGAGAGAGTGGAAGGAGCAGGGCAGGGACTAGGCTGGAGCGGTGGGCAGGCGCTGTGGAAACACCCCCCCCACACACCCTCCCCTCAGTTCCTAACACAGCTGTGCCCCGACTTAGGGCACCGTCCCTTATCACACAGCTCCCCAGCCCAAGGCTCTCCCACATGGCCCTGTGCTCTGCGCCCCCCCCCGGGGGGCACCCAGCCCCCTCCCCATGCACAGAATCCGCAGACACAGGAGTGGAGGCAGGTACTGGGTTTAATTGGGACCCGATTCTGGAAGGAGTAGGGCCTGGAGTCCTCTTGGCTCAGTGCTCAGCTGGCGTACCAGCAGCTTTCTCCCCAAATCACAGCCTACCCTGGCCTGCGGCCTCTGTTCCCATTCTGGGCACTAGTCCCAGTCCAGGCAGCCTGGGTTCCCTGCTCGTCTTCATCCGAGAGGCTGCTGCCTGGGCTCAGGGTCCCTCCTGTCTCCTGCCAGGAGAGGCCCCGTTCCTTGCTGGGGTGTCCAGTGGGGCTGTAGGAACCTCCCTTCCTCGTTAGGGCCTGGGTACAAGGAGGCCAGGCCAGGCGCTAGGGTGGCTTCCTGGCCTCCTTCCTCAGCAGGGAGTTGGCCACAGCCAGGGCCCCACCCTGCACGAAACGCACAAAATTGTCCCCTGCCAGCGGCCCCACAGCGTACAGGCCCTCCTGGTGGGTGCTCTGGTACGTGAAAGGGTCCACATCGATGGGGTTCCTTTTGGCGCTCAGGGGCTGGTCAGGGTCCATGGCCAGATTCGCGCCCCCCGCGGGGAGGAAGGAGAGGTCGGGGTGGGAGCCGATGAGCACCAGCACCAGGGCAACTCCGAAGACCTTCTGGAGCCCCCCAGGGTCCTGCAGCACGGCCTGGCAGTCCTCCTTGAGGAGCACCAGCCGGTGCTCAGGGAGGCTGCGGTAGCCCTCGTAGGGTCCAGGCGACAGGACGGACCGCTCCCGCAGCATCTGGTACACCTTGTGGTACTCGGGGTACAGCATCTTGGGCAGCTGGTTGAAGACCAGGCCGGGGTCGTCCACGGCCCGGCGGAAGGCGTGGATCACGGGGATGTTGTAGTGGCGGGCGTAGAGGACCGCGTCAGCGGCCGACAGCCCCGCGCCCACGATGAGGACGGGGTCCGAGGCTGGGCTCACTGTGCCCGCCCGCGTGGCTGCCTCCAGGGCCGAGAGCTCGTAGTGGACGAAGGGCAGGGCCTCCCCGGGGATGCCCAGCCGGGCCGGGCTGTCCGACGAGCCTGTGGCCAGCACCACGTTGCGGGCGCACAGGGAGAAAGGCTGCTGGCTCCGGTCCTCGGTGGTCAGGAAGCCGCTCACCTGGAAGAGGGGGCCGGGCTCCCGGACCCCGGAGCCGCTGGACTCAGGCATCCCCCACTCCACGGCTGTGACTACGGCACCCGACACGAAGTTGTGGCCCAGGCCCTTCTTGGTCACGTAGTCCCTGTAGTAGTGAGCGATGTCCCCGGCCGTGGCCCGGCTGTTGCGAAGACCTCTGGAAGGGAGGATGGGGGATGGAGGGTGTCAGACAGCTGACGGGGGTGTGGGAGCCGTCAGGTGCGACAGCGTGACCAGGCCGGCAGTGGGCCCCTGAGCTGGACGGTGGCTCTGCCTCCCCCGCTGTGGGATTCGGTTTACCCCTCGGAGCCTCCAGCTCCTCATGTGTAAAACGGAGCTAGTTCGGGTACCTCATCAGGGTGGGGCGGGGGAGAGTGTGGCCTCCAGAACTGGGTGGCCTGGGTTCAAATCCTGACTCCGCTGCCGGTGAGCTGTGTGCCTGAAATGATCCAGGCCTCAGTTTCCTCATTTGTGCAGCGGGGATGATGGCGGCGATGGAACTACTTCCTGTGGTGGCTGAGAGGGTCGGACGGTGTTGTGAACGGGGACCTCAGGACAGAACCTGCCCAGTGGTGAGCGGCAGGGGACAGTCACCCCTGCTCCCAGGGCTGAACACTGAGCTACGGAAAGCTGAGAGGATCCTGTTCCTGTCAAGTCCAGGAAGCTGGTGCGAGGAGTTAGAGGTGACAAAGTGGCCGGCCTCAGGCGGGAGGAAGGGGTTTGTGCTGGGGGCGGGTGCGAGGGGGGCTCCTGGGGCTGAGGGCATCTGGCTCTTGGTTCTGGGCAGCTGCCGTGCAGGTGTGAGCTCCTGCAGATGTTCTACCCGCCTGCTGGAGTGGGGCGCGCTTCCTGGACTTCACTAAGCACATTAATTTAAAAGCAGCCCCTGCAAAGCCCGTGGCAGAGTCTACCCGGCCCGCAAGGGCAAAGGCTGTTTTACTGCCAGTGTTGTTCCTCTTGCTTTTGCTCTCAGTGCCTCCCGGCCTGGGCAAGGACCGCACGGCCAGTGTCGCCGGGCACCTGAGCTAAAGGCTTGGGCGCCATCCCAGCTCCGCCGTCTGCCTGTGTGACCGCAGGTGGGTTACGTCCTCCAGCTCAGGAGGAACTCACTAAAGGAGAATCCTACGAGGGGCGCCTGGGGGGCGCAGCTGGTTGAGGGTCTGACTCTTGGTTTTGGCTCAGGTCCTGCTCTCGATGGTGAGATGGAGCCTCACGTTGGACTCTGCACTCTGCGCCGAGTCTGCTTGTCCCTCTGCCTCTGCTCCTCCCCCCTCCCCCCCAAAACAAAATAATGGAGGATCCTAGGTGACACCTACCAAGTCCTATGGTAGTGCCAGCTCACACGGCATCCCCACAGCCCCGAGCTCCCCAGCTCGCCCATCTGCTTCTGAAACTGGAACTCTGGGGTCTGTGTCTGTGGGTTTGTCACTTCCCCTTCTCTGAGTAAAAACTGTTCCGGAGAATGGTCCTAAGATGCTACAGACTGTTCTTTCTAAGGGCAGGTCGGAAAGGAGGAAAGCCCCAGGAGTGGGCGGGGCTTGAGAGCCCCGGAGGGCAGGGGGCGTGGCCCTTGTGGGCGTGGCCCTGCCCCTAGGAAGAGACAGGTGAGATCTGCTGAATGGGGAATATGAAGCAGTCACGTAAAAGGAGGATGGCAAACACAGCCGTCACCACCTGACATCCTATGCCGTATCCTGTCCTTAAAAGTAGAATACAAAAGGGTATGTCTGGAGTTAAAACCGAAGTCCTTGTCCCTCTCTGGATATCTTTGTACCAGATCTGCAGGAACACAGAGACTTTCTCAAACTGAGTTGCAGCGTGGGGACAACAGGCCCGTCGTGGCCCTTGGGGGTCGGAGAGAACAGGGCGTCACACAAGGTCAGCCAGCACCCGAGTGGCGGTCCCCTGTTTGCCACCCCCCACCCCCCGGAGCAATGGCAATGTGGTGCCTCGATTCCCGGGATGAGCGGGGCTGGAATTCATCTGCTCGGTGACTGAGCTGTCCCCCAAGGACGGTCAGATGGGTGGGAGTCGTGGGGCCATGATGGAGCTAGAAACAAGACGGGGGAAGCACCCCCGAATGGAAGAGCAATGGAGAGATGTCGGGTTGGGCTGAGCTGTCTTCCTTGTCTATGTGTGGTCAAGTTTCTCTTACAAGAGCATTTCAAAAAGGAAGTGCATCCTCCTCGCTGACCTTGAAGTAAAGAAATTATTGCAGGCCAGGCTTGAGTGGTGGGAAGGGCCAGCTGTCATGTCAGTATCTCTTAGAGGCTGAGATGCTCCCAGGGGCCATGTCGGGGCGGGGGTGGTTTGTCCATCAGGTGGCAGGAGCACTGGCAGGGGGTCGTGGGGTGAGCCCAGACCCCTGTGGTCCTGGGCAAGTCTTTCCCCATCCAAACCTCAGTTTCCCGTCCTGAAGTAAGAGGAGGGGCAGGCTAGCGGAAACGCAGAGCCCTTATACCTCTGGCTACTGGGCTCGACGTCCGGGGGAGGCCCAGTCACCCCCGCCCTCCCCGGGCTCTCTCGAGCCGCCTCACCTTCGCCTCCTACGCATCCACTCCTTCACCGGCAGGTCCGGGAGCCCCATCCACTGGCCTTGGCTAAGCGTCACCATGGAGCCTTCAATGGACTGTGTGCGAAAGGAGTCCTTTGGTCCAGGCCTCTCCGAGCCCCCAAGCTGATAGGGAGGGAGGGCATGGGAGGCCTTCGCTGGGGTGGGCGCAGGAAGGCAGGTGGGGAGGAGGGAGAGGAGGGCCGGGAGAGCAGGAACGTGAGGGAAGGGAGAGGCTGGGAAGGGGAGAGCCCTAACTTTCGGGAGGGAGTCTCTCCAAGACCTCGGGCAGATTCGGCCCAAAGCCCTTCTCACCCTCTCCCAGCTCCCACTCACATGCCAGGCTCCCCCGGGCAGGTTCCGGCCGAGGACCACATGGGGGATGGCTCGCTCCTTCTGGTGCTTCCAGGTGAGAACGGACTCCATGTTTCCCCCAAAGTCTGTGTCTGGGCGCAGGAGGGCATCAAAGAGCAGGGCCACAGGGCTTTGGCTCCGGCCTTCAAGGCCTTCAGACAGGTAATCCAGGTCCTGGAGGGGGTGCATAGGTCAGAGTGGCACTGGAGGAAGGCTGCCCAGGCCTGCATTCCCACCCTCATATCAGGGCGGTCACACAGGCTTGGAAAATGCTGCGTCACAGAAGGAGATAATGCACATCAACACGGTAGAGGCTCTGACAAGTCCCGCAGCTGCATTTACCTATTTAGTTCTGCCAAACCCAGTATCTCTCAGACTTCCTGGAGTAGGAATATTTTCTCTGAGGAACTAATGTCCTGTAGAAGGTGTTCTGAGAAATGCTGATCTAGACCCAATTACTTCCTCATCAGCCAGCTTTTGAGGGGGAGGGAGCTAGGAGGATGGCTGATGCCAGAAGTGGGGGGGGCGGGCAACGGGCGGCCTTCCGGAAGGCGAGGGGCATGGGTGAAGGTCTGGTGTGCCCTCTTGGGCAGGGGCTAGTGAGCCAAATGCTTCCGGCAGGATTTCTCAACTTCGGTACTGCTGCTGTTTGGGGGGGCTTGTGCTTCGGTGGGGGCGGGGGGGGGGCCGCTGTCCTGTGTACTGTAGGCGGTTAAATGGCCTCCCTGGCGGCGACCCTGGGAGCCAGGAGTGCCACTGCTTCAGTTGTGACAGCTGATGTCATGGCTGACTCTGCAGCCCCTCATGTGACTAACAGGTGCATCTTTCTATTTTTGCCCCAGTTCCCTGGGGGGCGGGGGGGTGTCCCCTGCCCCGTGCCCAGAGCTCTGACCCACCTGGTCCAGGAGGGAGACCCCCGGGGCCTCGGCGAGCTTCCTCTGCAGGAGTGGGTGTGGGTGCTCGGTGTCCGGTTTCACGTAGGGAGTGTAGCCCGACAGCAGGTAGGACAGACAGATGCCTGAGGGACCATTGCCTGAGGAGGGAGGGTGGGGGCAGAGGACAGGGCTCTTAGGGGCAGCAGACCACTGGCTCGGAGGGCTTTGGTCTTGACCTGTCTGATTCATTGATTTGCTCTTTATTCATAAACATAAAACAGTGAGTCCTTAGCACGGGCCAGGCGCTGTGCATACTAACAGTGACAAAGTAAGGGACCATTGCTGAGAGCCTCCTGGGTGCTCCTTTAACAACAGGGCGATGCAGGTGACAACCACGGACGTTTACAGGGTGCCTGCTAGGTGTCGGGGGATCTTAAGAACGAAACAGTAAGACGTGGCAGATGCTGCTGCCGGACCAGGCCATGCACGAAGCCCTGATGTGCGATAGCCCCGCGCGTCCCCCAGTAACATTAGCAGGGTGCTGGCTATCCGTTTTCCCCTTTCACACTGGAGGAAGCTGGGGCTCAGAGTTTAAGTAACTTGCTTGTGGTCACACAGCAACACGACAGATTCTAAGATCACTAAGAACTCGCCCTGTCCTCCCAGAGCTGTGTGGTTGGTCAGACAGACAAGAAAGATCTTAACAGGATAGATTCCTGTGCTCTGGGTGGGGGTGGGTGGGGTGAGCTGGGCAGGGAGGCTAAGGAGGAGTACGGCGCCCCCGCAGGGCTTCCAGTCCCCAAGCCTGGATGAGTTACACTGCTCGTGTGTGGCCCTTCTTGGGCATTTTCCCCTGTGACACTGCTTCTCTCCTTATCTGTCTCTCCCCCCTTCTTATCGTGTGCCGTGCAGAGTATCACCCATATGCGCCGTGCCCTTAGCACAAACCATATGCAGTCACCGATGTTCAGCTGTTTCTGATTTACAGAGGTGGCCTTTGAATTGGGGAGGGGCCGTCTGTCCCCATTTTGCAGACTGGAGGACAGGAAGCGCGTGCTTCGGCCACGTCTGCCTCACGTGGCCCTGAGCACCGTGCCGGGTACAAGGGAAACATAGTAGCCCTTGCAGGCTTAGGGCCGGGCCCCCTCGGCCTTGCTGGGCAGCCTCAGTGGACAGTTCCGGCTTCAGGGGTTCTTGGAGGGGTCACGGGGAGTGACATTTTGTAAATTGCTAGGCCTAGCACCAGGCACGTCCTGAATGCTCAACGGCCAATTGTAAAGACAACTTTTGTAAAGAAATGCCTGGCCTGGGCCTGCCTGGCTCCCGACCCTCACCCCAGGGGTTCAGCACAGCCCATCCTCCCGGATGCACTCACCGATGATGACGACCGTGAAGGGCTCTGAGCTGCCGCCGCCAAGGGGGTCCTTTCTCCAGCTGCTCATGGCTGTGGCTGGTGGGGAGCTCGCAGCTGGCAGCTGACCTGGGGGCAAGTGGGGAGGAAGGGCTACTCCGTGAGCCTGGGGTGTCATGCACTCCCTTCCCGGCTATGGGCTGTTGTCCTGCGGCCCTCAGGGTCAAGTCCAAGGTCCTCGCTGAGGCCTATCGAGATGACATTCCCCTGTTCCTTCTCTCCTTCCCACACCTGTCCCAGTCCAAACAAACCACCTCCCCTCCCAGTGACCTCCAGGTCTGAGCCTCGCCCCTTTCTCCCCATTTCACCAGCAGACAGTAACAACACCCCCAGCTTATGGGCCATCTTCTGTAAGACCTCCCTTGCCCCACGGCAATCCCTGCCCAGCACTTCTGTGTCCCCCACAGTCCCCACCCCACAATCCAGCCCTCAGGTCTCCGGTGCAGCCAGTGGCCTTTGGAGCCATTGCCCAGCAAGATGCTTCCTAGCTGGTGACCAAAGACCCATTCTTGGAACTCTCTGTGTCTGATTCCTCATCTAGAAAATGGGAATAATAATAGTTTCTACGCTGTTGGTGGGACACAGGGAGGTGATCGCCGTGAAGCATTGGCTGGAGCGAATATGCCACTGGGCAAGGACTGGAGCCCACTGCCAGCTCCAGCGGCTCAGGCGGAACAGGTGGCCTTGAAGCTTGGCAAGCCAGAGTCACTCTGGTTGGGGAAAATGCCTGTAAACTTGCCGGTTTCTGGAACACCTACGCCCCCTGCTGGCCACAGGCCTGCAGCGCATCACCCATAGGGACCTAAACCCAGTTCTTGGGGGGGCAGGTACCAGAGGGAGGGAGGGTCCAGACCCACCTGCTCCACCTCCCCCAGACCCAGCTAAGGGGGCCTCCGACCTCACCCGCTGCCCACACACTGCTGTCCTGGGGGCCACAAGACAACGGAGCATTGAGGAGCGTGTGGCCTTTAGCATGGGCCTAGCTACTTCCCACGCGGCCGCACGCAGGAAGCCGTCGGTTACGACCCCAGGTCACAGACGTGTCACCTGGAGCCCAGAGAGGGCGCACAGTCGCTCAGTGTCACAAAGTTGGCTTTGAAACCGGTGCCGAGGCTTTCCCTGTGTGTGAACCCTGCATGCCCCTGGCCTGCCCCAGTGAGACCCGGGGCTCACACGCACGCGTAAAGAGTGAGTGGGCTGGCACGTGCCCCCCCACCCCTGAGCAGCCAGGGATGGGGGCCCAGGGTCACTGCCCGCAGGAGTCTACTGGACGAGGCGGAAATCTGGGTTTTGATGTGCATTCTCCGATTTGGAAAAGTGGGCAACCAATTCACACTCGGAAGAAAAAATCTTGACTGGTGACCAAACGTGACGGAGGCCAGGATACGACCTGCACATGTGCAGAGGGGCGGGAACACCAGCATCCACCTGGAGCAGATGGAAAGGAAGATCCCCTCCCCAGCAACGGGCGGGTGCGAAGACCCGGTGTCGCTCCCCTGGGGACAACAACAGACCTTCTCCCGCACTTTAGCGAATGGCTTGCACCTAAGTGATGGCACTGGGTCTGATGACCTTGAGAGGGGAGCCGTGTCACCTCAGCCGGCGGATGAGGAAAGGGGGGCTCGGCGGCGAAGGACCCATGGCAGGAAGTGTCATGTCACGTGGCATGTCAAGGACACCCTCATCCTGGGAACAGTCCCCCTGCCGCTGGTCCCCGGGGCCCCAGGGGATGAAAGATGGCAGCAGGGACTGCGCAGCCTTCTCCACACAGGGTTCCCTGCAGGCGCCGAGCTGTCTGCCCCAGGAGAGGGTCTGGGGGGCGCCCCCCACCATTACCACCACCTCCAACACAAATGGCTAATGTTTGTGCACGTCTGTGACGAGCTGGCTAGGTGCCAAGCGTGTTCTAACCACTTTATACACGTTAACTCATTTAATCCTTATTTAACTGTGTACCCTTCCACTCTCTCCCATATCAGAGCAGCTGAGGTCATGGAACCAGGCTCCAGAGTGCAGAGTGACAGGGTGTGACAGCTTCTGCCAGAGGCCCTGGGGAGCAGGACGGCAGTGTCCCAGCACACTCTCCTAGAACCTCCCTGCAGCCCTCATCTCTTCTGTCCCTAGGAATAACAGTAATGGGGACCCATGCGATGCCCTTGCTGAGAGCTCCATATGCCTTACAACTTTAATTCTCATGGCAACCCACTTCACTGATGTGAAGACTGAGGCTCAAGGTGGTGAAGCCATGCCCCCGAGGTCATAGAGCCAGTGGGTGACAGATCTAGAGTTTGACCCCGGGGGTTTGTGGACTCCCCATGGCCCCCCAGAATGAGCACGCCCACGCTGAGCCATGCCCTTCACCCCTCTTGTCCCTTTGACCTTCTCCTCCCCCATCCACAGGGGCAAGAGGCACTCCTAGGAGCCCTTGGTTCGCCTCTTATCCTGCTTCCCGGAAGGTGGAGGGACCCATTTCCCATCAGAGCTTTTGGGCTCCAAGTTCAGTGCTCCCTTCTAGAAGCCTCCAGATGCCACATACATGAGGTCACCACCCCGAGGTCACTTCCTGTGCCGCGGCCCCAAGCAGCTGAGAACTCTCATTACCTTGGAAGACCGCACACGCTGCCACGGGACAGCAGACGTTCTGAAACTATTTTCATTTTCATTTACGCGTTTTAGTTTTGTGGCGCTGGAACGGCCAACTTTTAATGTTCACTTTTTGTTCGAGTCCCTCCTGAAGACAGCGAGTGCCAACTGCAAACAGCTCCCGGGAGAGTCTGTCATTCACAGAAGCAAATAAGCAAAGAAAAAACGGGAACATCGGCCGCCTTCAACGACGGATGTTTCCTTGAAGTCTGCAGCACCGGCGTTTCTAGCGTTCCTGGGGCTGAAACTGCTCTGAGCCTCCGGGACACCTGCCCGGCCGCATTTACTGGGCACTGCTGGTGGCCCTTTGCTCACTTGACTTTGGATCTCCCCCACGCCCAGCCCACGCAGAGGGTGTTCTTAACCCTGGGGCGGGAGAGGGAGACCAGGGTCGGGGCGGAGGCGGCTTCTCGCCCAGGAACGTCCCAGACGCTGCCAACGAGTTCAAGTCCTGCCGGCCGCCGACCGTCGGAAGGTGGGCAAGGTCCCCCGGAGGAACAGACCGTGGGAACAGTGCCACCAAGAAAGGGACGTGAGGCTGAAGCAGGGCGAGGGAGAGGAGGGTCCGTGGACGCGAGCGCTACCTGCCCGCAGCCCCGGGGCCCAGCGGGGTGCGCCCCTCCCTCCGGAGCCTCCCCCACCTGGAGCAGCCCCGCCCCGTGCTCAGCACCCCAAGCCTGCCAGGCGCCAAGTGCCCGGGACGCAGGGTGCGGGGACGAGAGGCGCTCCAAGCCCGGCTGCAGGACCTAGTGGCCGGGCGGCGGGCAGCGCGCCGGGGCGGCCACACCTCCCTTCCCTGCGGCGAGCGGCGTCACGTGGGCGGGGGCGGCGGCGGCCGAGGGGGCCGGGCACCTGGGGACGGCGGCCGCGGAGCGCGGCGGAAGAGCGTCCGGCCCGGCCCGCGGGGCCCCCCGCCCCCCGTTTCTCCCCCACCGCGCCCGCCCTGCTCAGGCCACTCACCTGACCGGCGCGGGGGGCGCGGGGGCCGCGGCGAGCCTGGCTGGCGCACGCCGGGAGGGCCGGCTTTCGGGGCCACCGCGGAGCAAGTGGCCGTCTCCCCGAGGGGACCGAGGAGGCTGTGTGAGGCGGGGAGGCCGGGGTATTTCACGGCCCCGGAGGAGGCGGGCGGGGGCGGGGCCAGGAAAACCACTTTCATAAGCGTGAGTCAGCAGGGGCCCCTGGATGAATGAACTTGCACCAGACCCACGGCCGGCCTTAAAGGGGCCCCGCCGCGGTGGGGGGGGGGGGTGTCCGGCGCTCCACTCCCCGGGCGCGGGGGCTCAGTCAGTAAATAGAGGACCCAAAGGCCCCGATCCAGCCAACGCGGCCTTTTCTCCTAGGCAGGTGGCCCTTGAAGTGCAGAAGGACACCCTCGGGGCACTTGGTGCCGCCCCCTTCTCCACTCGGACTCGCCCCACCCCGTATAAAGCCCTCGGGCATCAGCCTGCCCAGGGTGAGAGTCTGGCTTTGAACGTCCTGGGCAAGCTGCCTCAGTTTTCTCATCTGAAAAATGGGGCCAGCGAACAGGCTGTCCCTCCTGGGGGGTGTGGCAGTTAGGGGATGCCATTCTTGGCTCCCACGCCTAAAACATGAAGCCGGCCCCCTGAGTCGGTTCCCCAGTTATTTTCTCTGCACACTTGCTGATCCTTCCTTATTACTTCATTATCTCTCCCCAGACCAGGTTGTGGGTTCTGCGTGGGCAGGAAGTGTTTCCGTGACCGCTTCATCCCGAATCTGGAGTGGTGCTCAGGGCGGAAGGGAGGGAGGGAGGGAGGGAAGAGGGCTAGAGTTGGAGCGGTGTCTGGCCCGGTAGACCTCAGCGCACATCAGCCAGGATTTTCATCACTGATGTGACTGGTAACCAGGCCGTCCTTTCCTGTCTGGGGACTTCCCCGTAGTTGGGGGGCCTGTGGGAGGCCAGGGAGGTGCTTACCTTGCACGCAAAGGTTGAAGGGGGCACCCAAAACACTCAGTGATGAAGAACATGGTGTTTTCGTGCAACATTTTTTTGAAAATCAAAATTAGGGGCGCCTGCCTGGATCAGTCGGAGTGTGTGACTCCTGATCATGGGTTGTGAGTTTAAGCCCCATGTTGGGTGTAGAGATCACGTAATAAACAAACAAATAAACAAACTTCTAAAAACTCAACAGTAGTGCAAGAAGTGGAAGATGAACCGATTATTAAAATTTCAGGACTCAACGGGACCTGTAACGGTGCCGTGCTGAGCCATCCTGGAGCCTGACGCTAAAGGAAAAATCAGAATACTGATACGGTCTTTATTCGAAACTTTGCTATTTTCTTCATCCTGCATTTTTGGCACTACTCTCAAGTTTTAAAAATATCATGGGATCGCAACACTGTGAGTCTCGATCGATTATGGAACGCTTCTGTGCCCCTCTGGTTTGTGTGGTCCCCCTCCTGGGGCTGATGGCCACAGGGATGGGGTTAGAATGCACACACTGTAGACTATGCACAAGAAGGGACGAGGGGGGATGGGGAGGGCAAGGACCAGGTCGGACCGCGGGGCTCTTTTGGGGACAGGGTCTGGTGTCCCACCAATGAAAGATACCTCTGAGGAGGCAGAGTCCTGCTGGGACAGACAGAGACAGAGGTGAGCTGGCTGGTGCAGGGAGGGGCTGGAGGGAACTGAGGGATTGGGGGGGGGCAGCATAAAGAGCAGGGCCGAGAAGGGAGACCCTGGGCTTAGGGAGACTAGGGGACGGGAGCCTGGGAAGGGCTGCATCAGGCCAGGTGTGAGGGGAGCGCGTCCCTCCTGCCTCCGCTCTCCTCCTGCTGGGGGGCTCATGGGTATCCATCCTGTGCCCACGACCCCACTCTCAGAAGGGCCCTGCGCTGGGTGTCACACTCTGCTGTTCCCACTCTAAAATCCTTATTAATTGATGAATGAGGAGGTCCCTTGTTTTCATGTTGCACGGGGGCCCACAAATCACGTGATGGGGGCACACTGCCTGTGGTGAGCTGGGTGAGAGGGGCTCTGGGCGGGGGTAGTTCTGGTAAGGCACTGCCCAGGGGAAAGTGGCCTTCCTCGTCCTTTTCTCCTGGGGTCCTGGGCAGCAGTGCCGTGTGGGGTCACGTGACACTGTCCGTGGCATGTGGCAGGGGCAGCCGGAAGCCCAGAGTACAGCTCTCCAGCTGGCTTCTAGCCCCTTGTAGGTACGCTGTGTGACCTCAGCTGTGGCCTACCTCTCTGGGCTTCTGTTCCAACATTCCTGGACACTTGGGATGGGTACCCCTTGCGACCCCCATCCCCCGCCCACGCCAGGAGCCCAGGACGGTCCCAGCACGGGGAGGGCAGCTTCCCTCTGACCTACCTCACGTACGGGCTGTATCTTTCCCCGGCAGCCACCTGGCTGTGTCCACTTCCCCATCCCAGGCTCTGGACTGCAACTTCCCAGTGTGTTTGGATGTGTAAACTGAGGCAGAGAGAGACAACCCCAAGTCAGAGACTCCCACCTGAAGTGTCTCAGCCCCTGTGGGGCAAGGCTGAGGCTCAGAGTCAGAGAGGAAGGCCTGGGAAGGAGGCAAGCCCCCAGGTTCCCCATCTCTGGCTCTGGCCCATCCTCCCTCCAGACCTGCCCCACCACCCCCGCTGGCCCTGACCCGTTTTCTGGATTTGGAAAATTTGCTGATACAGAGAATTGTGGGCGAGATGTGGACTTTCTTCCCTGTTGCCTGTTTTTTCTGCCAGGAGATTGTGGGAAATAGAAAGTGTTGAGCGGCTTCCAAAAAGCTCGACCAAGACAAAGACCGATAATGTCACGGGCCACACAGGGATGATGGTTGGGGGGCCACGGAGAAGGAAGAAGCAAGGCAGGTAGACTTGGGGTGACTGGCTTTCTCGCACTCTGCTGGGCGCCCCAATCCTTCCACACCTGCCTGTCCCCTTCTCGCCCACGAGTTCGGGTGGCTGGGATGCCTCTGGATCCAGAAGTACTGAAACTAGGGTTGGAAGATGTTGCAAATAAAAATTACAGGCACACTGGGGTGCCTGGGAGGCTCAGGTCATGATCCTGGGGT